CCCCAAAGTGCGGTGCGAAGTTTAACGCACTTTGGGGTCGGACCCCACAGTGCATTTGACCCCAAAGTGCGGTGTTACAAAGCACTTTGTAAACGTGTGTACATATTTTTGACATTCTGACGGCTGTTTACCAGTTTACAGTGTAGGACGAACCTGAAAATAACCTATTTCAGTTTTTTAAATTAGATATAGATGTATATTATAACATAAACGTATACGCTATTCAACAAATCGATCGAAACAGGTTGTTTTTAGTAAAAACAATATGATATGAAAACAAACAACTCCAGAAAATTGGATTATGAAACAAAATCTGAAGACGTATTAGCATAAATTAGGACACTACATGTAATTAAATTTTACAATTTCATTTTTTTACTTACAAAATATTTCAGAAACGAATTTTCCAGCCAAACAAAACAAAAACGTTAATTCACAACATTTTTTAAGAATATAGAAAAAATTATCGTGAACATTTTTTTTCTTTATTTGCAGCATAGTATAGCATCTTTATTTAGAATCAATGATCTTTATTAACAACGTAGATTTTTTTACATGTTTACATGGTCTATAATCCTTTAGAGACAACATTTTCAAATATCTATCTTTACAATATCTTTGTATACATCATATTTTACATACACCATATTTTAAACCTATCTTTGTATACACCATTTTCAAGAACCGTTCTTTTAAGACATCCATTTCTAGAATCAATTTTTTAAGTCATCATTTTCTAGAATATTTCTTTCTAGAAAACATTTTATATAAATTTTTTTTAAAGGATAAACATATTCTAGAACTTATATTTGTAAACATGACTTTCTGTAATCTATTTCTATAGACTTAAAATATTCTAGAAATATTCTAGAACCTTTATCTATACAATATTTTCTGTAGGTTCTCTTTATAGGTAACATATTCTAGAACTTATATTTGTAAACATGACTTTCTGTAATATATTTCTATAGACTTAAAATATTTAGAAATATTCTAGAATCTATATCTATACAACATTTTCTGTAGGCTCTCTTTATAGGTTACATATTTTAGAACCTATATTTGTAAACAAATTTTTCTATCTATCTTATAAATAAACATATTCTAGACATTCAAATTTTCTCTTCCTTCAATCATTTAAGAAATGTCTGAATCATCAAAAATGTAACACATGTTATCATGGCCGGTATTTTCGCATGCCAATGTTTCTCATTTTATTTCTGTTGGAATTACTCCACTATTGTTGTTCTTCTATTTTAGAACTTCCTTATCTTTCAAATATTCAACAGTTCTTTTGAACGATTTTCCATGTTTTCGCATCTAGTTGATACTTTTAAGAAAGGAAAAGAAATATGACGCATGTTTGCCATTAACTTTAGTTTGCTAAACAGAATCGATTCCTCCAGTGATTTATCAAACACTCCCTATTAGTAGTAATCACTGAAAAAAACTATTGTTTTGCGGGTAGTAGTAAAAGAACAAACTATTTAACTGTATGTCATTCTGTATAGGCTGGTGGCTTCCGTTTAAAATAGAGGAAAGTAGATGAAACAAACCGAAAATTCAAAACGTAGATGCCAGATCTGTAAAACATTACAGGATAACTATCTTCTTTTACAAGAATGTCATTAATATTACGAAAAATATACTTTATCAATGAAATACCAATGCACTAAAGTTTTCTAGGCTTTTAAACAATAAAACAACGTCTTTATTAAAAAAATATCAGTATAATTATATAGCAAAATTAAACTATTTTACTAGAATGTCGAATTAATTAAATTGTAGGTACATGTTCTGGTATTGAATACTGTTACTTCATGTTTATCTTATTGCCGGAGTGTATAGTTGGGAACTATTTTTAAAACATGTATATATGTAAAATTCTCTTTGATAATGTTCTTTTAATTAAAGAATCTCAAAATCAGTTGTTCTTTTTTTAGGATTAAAAAATGGTAGAAAATAGCATACATGTATGAAGCAATCATACTGAAGCAATACTTGATACACACGCGTTATTTGATGTTAATAGACCTTTATTTCGTGTAATTACAGTCCTTTATTATCACAGTGAACAGCAGATAAAAGAAAATAAACAGTGGCAATTCTTTCACCAAATTGCACGGCGTCGTGGAATCACCAGTCGACTATGATACAATTATCTACTGCAATAAAGAATCTCCTTATTTCTTTTCAAGATGATCTATGAAACGCTTGAACATTTTACGTTAATTATATGGTATTTATTTTTATTCAGTTTCTATGTGAAATTGATAAAGCTATAACGCCGATATGCTAACTACCCTGTCACTATTAAGTTTGTATATAAAGTTAGTTCCCTATTCCTTATTCCTTTTTCGAATAAGGAATAAGGAATCAGTTCTGGTGTCTTTCTTTACGTATTTCCTTCTTTCCTTATTCGGAGTTGAATAAGGAATAAGGAACTGGTTCCCTATTCCTTATTCGACTGTAACATTTTTTAAAAAAAATATGTAGATGCTTTATTTCATGATTTTTATGATTGATCCTTGCAATTCTAATGCAGATTTATCACAAATAATTGCAACTGGTGTCTTTTCTTTACGTATTTACTTCTGTTCCTTATTCGGAGTTGAATAAGGAACTGGTTCCCTAATCCTTATTCGATTTTTTTTCAAAATAATTTATGCAGATTCTTTATGCAATGATTTGAATGAGGTATAAATTTTATTTTAAATAAATACTAATTCTGCTGTTCCTTATTTAGATTTGAATAAGGAATCAGGAACTAGTTCCGTATTCCTTATTCGAAAAAAGGAATAAGGAACTGATTCCTTATTCCTTATTCGAAAAAGGAATAAGGAATAAGGAATAGGGAACTAACTTTATGTACATCTATTAAGTCTACTTTTCAACCTACCATAAACATTAACCATCATTTTAAAATATAAAACTTTGCAATGTTATTTTTCTGCCGAATTTTAACTTTTCAATTGCAATTCAAATAAACTAATGTGTACAAATACATTTTTGTAATAAAATACCGGTTTCTAAAAGACTAAAGAGAAATTTATACAGAAATACACTATAACATTGTGTCACCCTGCGTATGTATTGACGTGTACCACGTGATTAGTAAGAAAAACAACAACACTTACAACAATAGCATTGATTATTCAAAAAATTCTGTTTATAGTACATAATCATGGTCTATTGTGTTCATTGATTATTTTCTTACATCAAGAAAAAGGCTTTTGTTTAAATTATATATATTCTAATATTATATATCTTATACTTGTGTCCATGGTCCTTTAGTCTAATTGAATAAAAAATAAAATTTTGAAAATACTTTATTAATATTAGAAAATTGGTTATGGCTTTACTAAGATATACATATTTAATAAGTATATAATAACATTATTTTATGCAAACTTTCAAACAGAATCATCATTTCTTCTCAGTAGAAAGATACTGTGATACATTCATTTGAAAAAGAATCTTCTTCATGAAAAAAAACCACACACACATTGTGCTATCATAAATAATATATGCTTATTTGAATGGTGAAAAAAATCTCAAAGTTTTATTACATTTCTTTAAATCAGTAAAAAGTAAAGTACACTGTATGTCTAGTGAGAGTAAAGTACACTCTATGTCTAGTGAGAGTAAAGTACACTCTATGTCTAGTGAGAGTAAAGTACACTCTATGTCTAGTGAGAGTAAAGTACACTCTATGTCTAGTGAGAGTAAAGTACACTCTATGTCTAGTGAGAGTAAAGTACACTCTATGTCTAGTGAGAGTAGAGTACACTGTATGTCTAGTGAGAGTAAAGTACACTGTATGTCTAGTGAGAGTAAAGTACACTCTATGTCTAGTGAGAGTAGAGTACACTGTATGTCTAGTGAGAGTAAAGTACACTGTATGTCTAGTGAGAGTAGAGTACACTGTATGTCTAGTGAGAGTAAAGTACACTGTATGTCTAGTGAGAGTAAAGTACACTCTATGTCTAGTGAGAGTAAAGTACACTGTATGTCTAGTGAGAGTAGAGTACACTGTAAGTCTAGTGAGAGTAGAGTACACTCTATGTCTAGTGAGAGTAGAGTACACTGTATGTCTAGTGAGAGTAAAGTACACTGTATGTCTAGTGAGAGTAAAGTACACTGTATGTCTAGTGAGAGTTAAGTACACTGTATGTCTAGTGAGAGTAAAGTACACTGCATGTCTAGTAAGAGATTGAATGTGACCAATCCTTTATTGGTTAGATTGAGTAGTTAGCATGCAGAGGTTCTCGTCTGTCTTTACGGCTATCATTATTTTGTAGCGGATTCCAACCGTATGCTGTGCTGTTTAACGGCTGAAATAAATGTCTTTTCTGAGATCAATGTGGGGTTCAAGACAACTGCGATAAATAATGCGAGAACTAGTAGCGTTGCCTTGCCAGGCAGTTTATCGAGGTATCAGATTTATGAGATTCCTATAATTCCTAAATAAGTGATTTTTTCAAGCATTGCTAAATGTCTAAATACGATCCTGTACCATACCATTATAATGAATGATTTATAATACATTTTAAGCAAATTCTCGAATCAAAGCATTCAAGAAAAGTAAAGTTTTAGTGAAATAGCAAATTTCCTTCTTAAAACAATCGGTTTCCCATTCACTCTCATATTTTTATTTTCATTTTAACCTTAACTCCAGTGTTATTTCACATACGTACATGTAAATGTATAAGGAATGTTTACAAGCTTGTTTTTTTACTAGTAGATGACAATGGTCATAGACTAAACAATCAGCTGTGCATTTATCTTGTTCGTGTGTTTGTGTGTGTGTGTGTGCGTGCGTGCGTGCGTGCGTGTGTGTTGGAGGGCTTCTTTGACATATGTTGAATTCTTGATTTTTTTTTGAAATATTTTCAGTTGATGAAACAATCATCTGACATAAGTAAAACACAAAAATTGAGGATTTATTTCTATAAATTTTTGATTTACTTGAAAAAAAGAACATACATAATAAAACTTACATGCCATGCTGTAATTCTTGACCAAGTCCATGTTGAATAACCGTAATAGCAGTTAAAATTAGGGTAGTTGGTAGAGGGTTTAAATCCCAAGCCATACTGCTGTATCTTTTTATGTATCTTCCTTTTTAATTGATGACATGAACAGACACTTTTCACCATAACTTTGTGTAGACCTCAATAGTGAACTCTTGATGTTTTATCCATGTATAAAAAATACACTTGAAAGAAGTTTATAGCAAATGTCACTTTCACCTTCTAGGAATAGATTACAAGTCTAACCCTTTTATCTTTTGAATTAGCAATGTTATCTTCCGTCACATAAGAACAGTAGGGTATCCCGTAATTTATTCGCCTTCACGTAACTGTTTAGTTCTAAGATAAAAAAATACCACGCAAGTATGGTTTAGCTCTAAAATACCAAAACTAAAATACTAGTGACAAGCATCCGCAACGTAAAATAAATTAACTCATTTAAATACAATTTAATTGATAAAGTTGTCACTAATTGACTTTCTTACCTCGTTAATCAGTTATCTAATCTAAACTCATATCCCAATAACTTATCAACATGTATAGTTTCAAACGCGATCGGATCAAAATCCGAAATCCCCTTCTTTTTTGTCGAAAAATACCCACTCTACAACACCTTAACACTGTAGTTTAAAAAAAAAGAAATATCTCGCGTTGTTTATCCTCATTTCAATTCTACTCAGCTAGTTTGAAAATATTCCATTTCTCTCGTATATAAATCACATTTAAACAAATTTAAACATAAAATTTACTAGTTGTGAAATTCATTACCACAACATAATCTTATGTATAAACCAAAATGTATTTTAAAATACAACTCTACTCTCGCTTTGATAGCGTGATCACTTCAGTGATTTTCAACTTAACTTAGTTTATTTTCACGTTGCTTTCCCTCATTTTACCAATACCGTCTGCTTTATGGAAGTTCCTTTCAAATGAGCGCGTGCGGTCTCGCGCTGCCCTATCTACTGTTTAAAATTATCCACTATAGCATTATTGAATAATGTAAGCCTAAAAAATTACTAATTAACTTTACGTATCATGTTGAAAAATCTGAAGACAGTGTAATATGTTGATATAAATAGCAATATGAAGTTATGTTCAAACTAGATTCCGATCTATTCATGCTATCAATACAGATATAAAATACGAACAAAACAATGTTTATTTACCTCTGCTGATACACAGCAAAAAAAAGCACAAAGGATATATACGTTTTACCTACAGAATCGTACCGTATCTTAAATTTCTTGATCTGTTTGTGGTTGGTTTTTTTTTCTAAAAGTTTTTTTGTGTGTTGTTTTTTTATGTTCTCGATTTGACAGTTATTTGGCAAAAGTCACATCTCTTAAAAAACTCCAAGTAAAGTATGCAGATGAGACTTAAACACATGTTATTATATATAAATCGTAGATAATCTAAAACACTTGCTAGATCTGTTATATAATCTAGATGCACTAAACTTCTATTTTTTAAACAGTTACTGGAAATAACTACAAATGTACATAAACTCAGTAATATATATGTATGTTTATTATAATTAAACGGATGGAAGAAAACACAGATTCATTACTCATGAAGAAAAAAAAGATAGCATACATACTTAAAATATCAAAAGAAATTCAAGAGTGAAGTACTCAAATAGAAGAGAGAATACAAGCACTTGAACAAGCAAGGAAGTAAAATACACAATTATCACATACAATTATGACAAACAAAAAGAGATGGCTATGTATATAGCGTTAATGTTATAAACACCATTTTAAGCTATTTGTATACATGTAGTCTATGCCGCCCATTAAAGCACAACAAGGGACTTTCGCTGTCGAGTACAGCCATCGGACAAGTGACCAGTCATGCTCATAAAGGGTTAATTTTGAAGAATTTACCTGTGTGCAATTTCGACAGAATATAAGCAAAAGCCGGAAATTGTTCTCGGTCAATGAGTACATACATTTAACAGTGACAATAACCCTAAATAGCGATGCTTGTGCCAGCAAAAGGGCGGCGCCGTTCAAATTCAGAGTTTGTGAGGTTTTTGTTGTTGTTGTTACTGTTCGTTTGTTTTTTCTCGTCACTGTAACATTAAGGGCCACACCCCTCAGCCAGCACATCGGTAGCTAAATCACAGATTATAATAGAAGCTTAACTGATCAGTGACGAATGGTTAGTTTGGTGTGTAAGTAAGTTTATTTATACTCGGCGCCGGAATAACCATATGTCCGAGATTATAGCATCCTTGCCGGTCCACTACGGTAGTCTCATCGGGGACGTCTTTTTCAAGCAGAACCTTCCTGGTAGCCCATTCTTCGTATGTTGGTGGTAAAGGAGACGACAATACTGTCAAGGCATCACATTCCTGACTGACGACAACAAAAACGGCCTTCGTTAGCGCCAACCCTCCAGAGTTAGTAACGACAGGTCAACCAATCACCTCTGGTACTTAAGATGACTTGACCTTGACCTGCCGTGTGCCTTCTCCGGGACGTGCACGCCTCTTGAGGGATTTGGAGAAGTTTAGTTTGGACTCCAGGGCATGTTCTTTATATATGTATAGTTTGCATCTTAAATGCTTAAATTATTTTGGGCATGTCATTGGCGCAGCCACTTTGTCGTTTATGCTTAAGTTAATTTGTAACGGCTTCATTCATTGGTTATTTGCCTTCTATTTTAATCAATGTTTAACTGTTTATTTGGTAATGCTACTTTTGCACGTTGTATTTTATATATAATTCGTGCATTTCTTCATTTTGTCAGCTAGGTGTATCAGCCTACCGGTACTCCTTCGAAGCCTTACTGTTCATTATAATTTGAGAATTTATTTCTCATCATTTATTTATGCTCAGTGCAAAATAAATATTAGTTATTACCTAAATATCTCTTCGTTTTAACGTAGGGCAATTCTTTCAATGAACTTAAAGTAATATTTAACGTCATCTTAATTAGATTGTGTGAATGAATATATGTATTTATTCACACAATTAAATCTATAGTTTGAACTAAAAAGCTTGTTGTTGTTCATTTGACTTGGGTATTCTTAATTCCACTATACGGCCAAATTATTTAGTAAAACTATTCTTTGTGATAAAACATCACATACAATTATACAAAATATAGAGCCTGATACATAATACAAAAACAGCGCTCGGATCTTAACCAGTCTGTGTCCTTGGTGAAAAATCCAGCCGAGCTCCATATAGACCACTAAGAAAGTTATACCTTATATGATTGAGTTAATCGCGCCTCAATCTATTTATTACAACAATCATTCGTCTCAGTAGTTTTCAAATAACTATCTTACGACACGCTTGATAAAAGATTCATGATTTTAATACCTGTGTGTAGCAGTGATTTCCAATCTTCGATGTCAATCAAAGCATGATAACAACAAAAGGATGATCCGCCATTTTCGCACCAATACATGTCTTAAAGACCGTCAATCATTTGTATAGAAGAATATAGAGAAGATCTAACATGACAAGGTTTTTAAATGCTTAAATGAGCAATAACCGTAAAATGCCCTTTCACAATTCACAGCATTTTCTTTGGATAATGTGATTCTTTTTTGAGAACCTTTTACTGTTTTTTTAGGCTTTAATTTATTAATTTTCCGCATGAAAAAAACAAGAAAACATTTAATACTTGAGTTAGATTATTTCAAATTACACATAGCTATCTACAATATAATTAACATGGTTTATCAGATAAATGTCATACTCCTAATGTAGACTGTCGCCTGTATTTAAATTATCAAATATATGATTTACATTGTCACTTCTTTTTTCATTCTATATGCCATATATATATATAATATATATATATATATATATATATATATATATATATATATATATATATATATATATATATATATATATATATATATAATAAAATTATAATGTTTAAGAAATAACAAACTCTATGTAAATTGGTAGCGCTTTCAATGCTTTCTTCGCATATCTTCAGCCGAAACTTTAATAAACAATATATATACCCGCACGACAACGCGACGTTTGGCGCTATGTCCTGTTGTCGCTAGCGCCAACACGATGCACAAAAGCGTTCCAAATCAGCCACCATAGTTTTGTTACATCACAACGTTTATTATAAAACTAGCATCTAATTTTAATGTCAGTGAAAAACTTTTTTAATACACAATTATGTTATTCTTAATCCTCTCATAATATATATTTTAACAGGAATGTTTATTTAAATCTTTGTTGTTTGTGTTTGCAAACATCACTTCTTAACAATTTATAATTTCTAAAATAAAGTTCAAAGATTATGTACATAAAAGTTTTATTCATGACGTCATGAAAACATTTTTCTGTCTTGTGTTCTTTGAAATCATCAGGGTACTGTAGTCCAGAATCATCAACAGCAACATCGACGGTCACACTAACAAACACAGCAACAGCTATATCCATGAATTAAAAAAATGCAGTGGAGTAACCAAGGCCGCTGATGACAGGTCAAATCTTAACTTAGCAAACAACGTAAGTAAAATTTATTATGAGCTTACTAAGATTCAGCAAATTGTGAAGTACTTAATGAAAAACAAAGATGTTATACTGTTTCATATAATTATTATTTATAACATCCTTGTAAATACAAATATGAAGAAGTTTAAACCACTGACTTTGACATTGGAAACGTTATTTTGAACGTTTATTCAAATGTAAAGTATATTTATAACACACGAGACGCTTTGCATTTTGTCGTTTACGAAAATGTTTATTATTGCAATAAATCACTGATTACGGTAGGCAAAATATTGTGTAAATATAACAATATCTTTAACATTTTAGGTCATAGATAGCTAAAACAAAGAACATGAAAAATAACAAAAACATCTAGATTAGAAATGAGCACGAGGAACACAAGTAAATATAACAGACTGAAAGATGTAATTTATACTGACGTAAATATCGATTAAACTACGTAACTCTACCACCCAACAGTACATTACATAATGCGGCGTTCACACAGTGCCGATTACGGCTCCCGTTTGAGATCAGACAGCGCTACGACACGAAAAGCAAAAAAGTCGGATAACTATCCTCATTGATCTGGAATGTCCTATCATTGTCTGAACGCAGTCGTATATGTTCGTAACAGAGTCCTACGGATCGGGATTTGTCCGGAGAGGTCGGCCAAGCACTCCCGACAGTTAGGTGCGTCCCGTAACATTGGGGAAACTCAGCCGATTTTGTCTAGTCGGATTACAATCGTGACTAGTCGGATTACAATCGTGACTATGTCGTGACAGATTCTGCTGTATCGGATCAAAATCTTTACAATGTCATGTGTTGTCTGGTCAGTGTCCGGTGGAACGAACATGATCTAGAGAAATTTTGCATTGTCGTTTCTTGTCGATTGAGTCCAGATTGCGTCCATCTTGCCGAATGCGAACCGTCTTTGCCGAATCCGTTCCGGAACAGTTCAGTAATTAATACGAAATTCGGCAATAATACCCACGTCAGAGTCACGACAATTACAGAACACGATACGACTGAGTCCAGACAAAGGCGTGTGCAATGCGGTACAACAGACTGTAATAGGATTGCGTTCCGGCAGTGTCCCGATCATCCTGAATATGGCGACAGTTGTAGGATTCCAGATGCGTGGATGTCCAGATTCGGCTAAGCTGCTCACGTATGAGTATATATATAACATGTGTTTGTGTGTGTGTGGCATTCATTGACAGTACTTAAACCGGTCCACCATGAGTGTTGCTTGTAGACGGAGACTTCTGCAGCAGGTTGCTCTCATGGAAATGGAAGAAGAGGAAGAAGACCTTCTGTTTGCTAATTATTATTTGAACAGAAGGGCACTGCGACCCCGTAGAAATAGAAGATACTGGGTCAAGCCCTGGATATACAGAAGGGTGCAGCTCGGCCAGTATGACACATTGATGAGGGAGCTGAGAGAAGAAGATCCAGAAGCTTTCATCAACTACATGAGGCTGCCCATGGAACTATACGATTAAGTCCTGGCTCGGATCACACCCCGCATCACCAAACAAGATAACTGGTGGAGGCAAGCCCTTGATCCAGGACTGAAGTTTGCCTGTACCATGAGGCACCCGGCGACAGTTGCAGCAGCATAAAGTGGGACTTCAGGGTTCCCAGTAACACCATGTCAATGTTTGTCCCTGAAGTCTGCCAA